TTCCTGGTTCACTTGTGTTTTTGTGTGAACTTTTGTGTATAAGGTTAGTTTAGGTTGTTGGGTACATTCTACACACTTAGTTGATTTTGTATTAGTACACTAGTTTAGTACGGGTGAGTGCCATTTGTCTTGTATGGTTGTTGGGTAGTCAGTGGAAGTTAGCAAGGGTGTATGAGACACCGAAGACCGTGTGTTTCCAGTTTTCTTTTGTAGTCAGGTTAGCTTTCCCTCATTTTCTTAGCCAGCTCCATTTTGTTTGTTATTTTCTTTTCTTTGTCACCACTCTAGTTCCTTACCCCTGTGTGTTATCATGTCTTGTCAGTCACTTATTCAACTTAAAACCATCACTTCTGCATCCACCTTTGTTATCACGCTTCCTAGTGTCTCACCAGAACCCACCTGCATTCAAAAATTATCCTAAATGTTACACCCCTTTACCCCTAGACACTTGGGGTTGTAACAGCATCGAAATCACAAAGTTTTTATCAGGAAAATAAAGACATTTTATTTTGTAGCAGGTGCATTGTCATGTTAGTGAAAAAGATGACATAAGAAAATTCATTATGCTAGTTAACATTTGTCGTAGGGGTTTATTGTTGCTTTGAATGCTACAGGCATGTTACTGCTTTCCAGATTACATGGATGCAGTTAATAGATGAGAAGGTGGGGAATGGACAGGCTTTGGGGAAAATGGAGAGTACATAAAGTCTAATAAAAGAGGCGGAGCAGAAAGGGAAAAAGTGTATGGGAAGACAAATGAAACTAAGATTTTGCAGGCTTCTGCACTGTCTGAGATAACAGTGGGCAAGGATCAGGGCTCTGAATTGGGTGCAAAACAGGCACCTTACAGGTCTTAATAGGGAAGGGACTTGAAGTATGAAATGAAGTAGAATAAGTAAATGGAAGAAGAGATCGTTCAGTTTGAACCATGAAATTGTAGGTTGAGTTGGAATGATTAAATAGCGCTGGTGGAGAGGGTGACAGCCAAGATTGAGTTACAATATTTCATGCTGTTTTAATGATCCTTAGTGGTGTTGTAACAGAAAGAATAAGGTTCTGGATCCCGAGATGAAGTAGAACAGATGAGTTTATTGCATGCAAGGAACAATAAAGCTGAAGTCTTGTTTCCAGCAAGAAACAACAAAACCGAAGTATTGTTCGATGTGCCGGTACAAACTTTTAGGTTATATAGTCCTTCCTTGCTCCTTCAGACGTCATTCGGTGTTATGGTAAGGGGGGGGGGGGGGGTCATGGTATTTGGCCAGTTAGAAGGCCCTGGCCAAATGGTCAGTTTAAGATTATGCCCCCAGGGGTTCCTTGCTCGCATCTGGAATCCTTATCAGTTAACCCCCTTTCCTGCCATAAACCCCTGTTGCTTAGAAGTCTAATTTTCAGGCAGAACTGACTTAAGTTATTAACCCTTTTTACATCTTGTCT